CAACTTATCCCTCCCTCCATCACCAGCTTGGCTTTGGCAGCTAAGATTCACAAAGATCAGAGACCTGCAACACCAGCTGCAACACTAAACAAACCAACAAAGAGGAGACTGAACTGGTCCAAACCCAGCATTTCAAACAGCCCATCTTTTCAAGTTCGAAAATTCAAGGACTTTCTTTCTCTAGAGTCATATGGCTGGTGCCAGTATCAGCCAGGTCTCATCTCATCCTAATATTCATGCAGGGATGCCTCAGTAGAGCTAGAAGACCTATCAGAGATACCTGAAATCCTAACAGTACAAAGAAGCAACCCTCACACAAAGCTGAAAGTTTAAACAGTAGGTCTCCTTACAAGAAACACAGTATCAACATACGTGCATTTCTGGAATTTGCTGAGTTTTCTCTCCTTGCTGAGACAAGGACAACAAAAGAAAAATCTCAGATAAAGGGAAGAAAGATGGAAACAGCAATATCAGGATTTTTTTTTCTTTTAAATTATCCAATGTAGAGTTCAATTACATTCCAAGAAAAGGGAAGAGTTTCAGAAGCCACTTGCATCAAGGGTAAGAGCTGGTTACTAATGTATCTTTAAAAGCAAGGGACCAAACTGAAGATGTAGTTCCTTTTAACTATGGAACTCATCTATAATTTTAAGTACAGGATTTGCAATTTGACTGAGTCAAAACCCCTGAAGAAAGAGATCCTTCACTTTCAGGCAAATAATACAAAGCATACAATAGATTTAGACAGCTTAAGAGACTTCACGGTACATTATTTGCTAATAAAGATCCGGGAGTGGAGTAGAAGGAACAAATAAATTCTACAGCTATTTAAGCATGATTAGATGTGCAGACATCTGTGAGCACATGAAAAGTCTGTTTACCTCTGACTTCTGCATGTAATATATATGTGTTATTTTGTAGGTGATGGTGGTAAGAATTACATGTTGTTACAAACTGCAAATTTTAAATCCAGACAGAACATAATGAAATCTTGATTGTTTTTATGTTCAAGTTAGGATAAGAAAAATCTACTGCCAAGTCTACCACGTTGGCTGAAAGATCATTTAGTGTATTACTCTATTTTAGAGACAGAAAATAGAAAAACTTATCTACAAAGTATTTTAAAAAGCATGGGTTACCATCCTTCAGAGAGCTGCGTGGAGTTATCCTCCCCAAAAGACCTATTTAAGGCAGGCAACCTTTGAAATCATGGGAACATAGTGCTCATCTACCCTTCAGAATAAAAACATTACAGTCATCTCAACCACGCATTTCTATTGGAATTCTATTGGTGACTGTGAAAGGAAGGAGAAGGAAGGATGGTGGAACTGAGAAATCCGAAATGTATTTGTAGCCTCGTAGCCCATGGCATCATGTTGAGAGAATAATTAAGGAATCATGTGTTTATTAATGATCTACCCAAAATATTCTCAGGGACACATCAGCCCAGACCCAGAGTCACTGCCACAAGGAGAAATCAGAAATACCATTAATTTCTCAACAGAAATAAAGGAACATGAAGATTTTACTGCATACAGTTTTTCACTGGATGTTTTCAGCACTACCAAAAGCCATCAATGTGTATGTTCTTACAGAAATGTTCACACCATGTCCTGGACTTCACTGCAGCTGTTTAGACAAAAGACCTGATAGTGTTTTATTGGAAATGCCTTTCAGAGGAACAGATTACTGTAGTGAAAAAACCACGTTGCTATACTACAGCCTGTTTTCCAAGTCTTATTTTAGCAAGAACTTTTTTAACATCAGTGAAGTTTCTACCAGTGTATTTTGGGAAGTGCATCAAACTGCACTTGCTACCATCAAGATGGCATCATGCCAGGAATTAACATAGGCAAAAGCTTCAAAATCAGGAGCACAGCACTTCTACTTCAAGAGAGAAGCCAGACTGGACCTGGGCTGTGGGGAAGCAAGCAGGTAAGTAACTGACACTCAAGGCCATTTCCCCCACCTTCAAGTTCTTTTAAGATAATTCACTGTTAATTATTTAAAGATGGTTCCCTGAGGAAAACATTGTAATCCTATTTATTTCTTTAGGATATTAAAAATGAGCCTGACAACCCTGCACGTACCTCTAACAAAATGCTTAAACTCCACCTCCTGTGTGCTGGAAAGTCACAGTGGGAGAAACAGCAGTCAAAGCAACATAAATCAGTGAAAAGCTGGACAGCAAAGGGACTTGGAGATTGAAGAAAAGAGATCCAGAACTTCTGGCACTATGTATGAAGGACCAAACAGGGTGTCCTGTTTATCTTCATTTTGACAAAATAAAAGTAAGCTGGAGACAGCTAAGAAGTGTATCTCATACAGCCCATGTATTCGTGGGTTAAACCACTGAAAAAATGCATAGCCTGCTACAGACAGCTGAAAAAACTCCAGGAAAACCTTAAGAAGTCATCCTATGTAATTTACCACTGCTGTCTGTTTTTCCACTACTCTTCACAAGACTAGAATTGTTGCCTCAGACCAGTTTTAAGGGGACCATTTCATTAAATAACAGGAATAATTATAAGCTTATTCCACAGTGCAAGCAAAAGGACCTGTACTAAGTCTACAGAGTTTTGTCTTTTCTGTATCAGCATATCCCAGTAACTTTAATGCTCTTTACAGAACTGCTTTAAAAGCATTCCTCAGCATTAAAATCCTCAAATCTGTTTTTTAAAATGTTCCTTAATTTGTTGTTGAAAAATCAGTAGGAATAACAATATTACTGACGTATTATCCTGTGAGTGCTAATCTTTTTCATAAATACATCGGACTGCAAATTGGTAGTTACATTTGATTTTTATAATTCAGTGTGATAACCTGAAGAATACCTTAATACATGAAGCAAAGCTCTGGATCTAAAGGACACTTTAGAACCCCTTCAACTTCACAGTACCAATATTATCCAGAAATGCTGTATGACGTGTGAAAGTGGGAAATAAAAACCATTCCTCAGCATGGTATTTGATCTAAACAATTTCTGTACATAATGAAATCCTTTTGATGTAGTGGTTCTAGAATTGTAATTTACAGATCACTAACTCTGGATGGCAATGGCATGAGTTTTTACACAATCTGAAGGCTGTACTAAGCAAAGTATTACAGGTCACACTTCTGAATATTTAAAAGCAGAATGCAAGTGGAGAAGCCAAAAGCTGAGGATAAGTATCCTAAAGCCATAAGCTCTAAACTCCAAATAACAAAGTGAAAGCTTGTGTTTTCCACCAAGAAAACTACTTAATTGTTAACAATCCAGCTCTTTCAAATAAGTCTTCTGACCACACTTAAAAACAGTATTAGAGACCAAAGCCAAATCAAACCTGTATGTTTGCAGAAACGTCCTCCCAACTATCAGGGGTTTTGGTATTATTTTGCTTTGTTGTGGGAGATTTTTCTGCTGGTGTTGTTTGGGTTGAGGTTTGGGTTTTCTTTGCTTATTTGACAGCAGAAACAAGGAATAATCTGTCCTGTCCAATTCTGCCCAGAGATGTAAAGTTCTCAAACCATTTCCAATTTACGCAAAAGATGAAGTGTGAGTAGATAACGAGTAGAAGCAAATGTGTTACTTACAGAACTACTGTGCAAACTAAAAATAGTATATTGAGATATATAAACTGTTAGAAATAAAAGGATAATTCTATTTGAGGTCTAGTCATAGTTACAATGCTAAAATACACAAGATAAAGGAAGAAAATGTAATGCAAGTTCTCTTCTTCATAACCTAAATTAAATGGTTTACTTCTACTTTATGCAGAATGTTGAAAGAATGTAGAAGTGGAGGGACTTCTGTAACCTCGACTACTCTGCCTGGAGGCAATCCCCATTCCCTCCACAAACCTGGAGGAGGGTACAGAACGTGGTTAGTGCAGAATGATTTCTTTGTAAAGGATCGAGCAAAACAGTCCCAAATCTGTCTGGGGCCTTCCAGAGTAACAGCTGTAAATGATATCACCTAGAAATCTGCTTGCCAGGTCCTGCAAACACAATCACCATAATGTCTATGCACACATGCTGTTAAAATATCATCACTGCAAGAATGCAGGAGCCCGACATCTTTGCAGAGCAGTGGTGTTTAAAAGTAACATAAAGAGCTTAAGATTCAAAAGAAACAGGGAGAGCTCTACTTCATAAAATATGGAATGCAGGTCCAAGTTTAAGGCACAATTAAAAATAAAAATCCTTACTTTAGGAAAGCACAAGTTCACACACCTAAAACTGAAAGCCCATGTTTTTTATTGCATACCTTCTTTGCAGTTTATCTGCAAGTCTACAATCCCCTATCTCATAGCAGCTTTTTAATATATTCTCCTGTTAAATTATGCACCTCTGACATCTTCTGCAAGAAAGGAACAGCTGTCAGAAGCTACTGTTATTGCTCATTAAGATTGCAGCAAGAGAAGGAGAAAGCTCAAGGCCAGTGGAAAGGCACCAGAAGTTAGTGTACACAGATGTTGGACAGAGAACTATTTAACCAAAGCTAGAATTATTTGCCTGTGCTATGTGTGATGTGCTGAAAATGTACCTATTTTCTCTACTTAAATACTCTCCTCCTCTTAAGGAATGAGAAATAACTACCTTGCCTCTGAAGAAATCAGAATGGAAGGCACACCCATGAAAAGAATGGAATCCTCTGCATGAAGATGTGTGTTCTGAAGTAAAGGTGGTCACAAAGATTAAGCTCTAGAGAAAGATAAATGTATTCCTGATCCAGAAACAGCTGTTTCTACCAAATTAGGAGCAGCAAAATGTTCTTCTACCCATCTCCATTGTTTAGAGCTTAAGTGGACAGTAACCAGAGCAATGCCACTGTGAACTGCGGCCTATCTGATTATGATAAGGCACCTACAGCAGCAGCCAAACAGAAAACTTGTTTGGAGCACTTAAGACAAAAATTGTAGACAAGCTGATACTTCTGTATTGTGAACCCCTAGTTAAAAAAAAAAAAAAAAGTTTTCCCCCTCGTGAAATACCCCAATCAGTACTTTTGGTACACATACCTCGAAGAATTCTCTCCTCATGGCAACGTAGAAAGTCCCAGATTCTAACAGTGCCGTCGTCAGAGCATGTAGCAAATTTATTATCCGTGGGTGAGAAACTGTTACATGAAGACACACAGCAGGGGAAAGAAGTCAGCATTTAACAGATTATGCTTCTCAGACAGGGCAAAATTATACTGTTATGTGTTATACACTGAAGGAGGCATTTGAACATAGGCACTTTTAAGTGAACACAGTGCCTGCCAAACGACACTTCATCACAAGACATGAATTTAGCATAGGATTACTTATTGCATTGCAGTCCCCTGTCAAATGAGGAAAAAAAAATCCGTCATTTATTCTTAGCACCTTCCTATCTCTGACTGCCCGCGGCAGCGCCTTCTCTGCAGGATGAGAAGCAACATCAATATGATTTGGTAACTGGCGCCCTAGATTGTCATGTTTGGCAACACCATAAGGAAGTGACACTGTGTAGAAGCAGAGATAACGGTTCTTAGGGAAAAAACTCCTCTTCAGCCACAGGTGCTTTGCAGCAGAGAAGCAAAAAATAAGCGAAAGCTGGTCACGGGAAAATGCTACTTGGATTAACTGTTAAAAAAACTATATAAAACAAGCATACCACTTATTGTAAGAGCAATTTGGAAACACTCCCTCTTATTACAGCCCACCAAAACCATGAAAAGAATCCTATAGACATATAAGCAGCTTCCAGATTCAGCAGTCAACATTGCTTGATGAAAGTCACTGGAAAAGCAAGGAGTTATTTAGCCATGTGAACAGGGCCAGAACATCTCCAGCAATTGACAGGCACTCACTTCTTTTCTGGTGCAGGGAGAGACCATGAGGGAGCCCTTGTGAAATCTTAGATCTTTATGATCAAGAAAGGGCTTAAAGTAGCACAGAAATTCAGTGTATGGCCATGATAGTCAGACAGTAACTGAATCCAAAGTAAGCACTTCTCAAAACCAAACTCTGGCAGAAAATGCACCCTTATCCAAGCAAAATGGTGACAGAAAGTGGGTTTGTGGCAGTGAACCTTTATCACCAGCACCTGAACCCATAGAAACACTGCTTTAGCTTCATTTTGGATCTGCAGCTTCTCTTCAGGCTTACTTTAAAAACATTTCCATATCTTACTAAGGATTATATGCAGGTTTGCTCTAGAAACATCCTTCATTTCCATCTTACTGATAGTATCACTTTAGCTTCCATTATATAGACATTTGCACAACTGAGGCATCAACACTGAACCAAGAGAATATCCTACAGTCTTCTTACAGTTTCAAGCTTGAAGAACCCATTTAGTATTAACATTAGACTTCTGTATGTGGCAGTCTGCGTGGGTATTTAGTATTACTGGAAGTCTTGGCTTCACCAAGCCAAGCAGTTCTTCACTTTATTTAGTGTTTTATTATTTTGTGAGAACTATGCAGGTGTTTTATTTCTGAAGGCTTTATATTTTATTCAGTTAGATTATTAAAGACTGAATTCTTTATTTGGAATGAAATTGTTGTCTTACACAGTGCGTATAAAAAGGAATAACTGATACACATTGTCACCATATAAAAATGAAAAGAATACCAGTGCAAAATGCGGCAGACAAATACATCTCTAACATATTGCAGAGGCGGATTCTGGGACAATACTAATTCAGAAAGGTGCCAGCAAAACGGTGAGAATGTGGAAACAAAAGGAAATATTGTGTTTATGTGGTGCATGAAGTCTCCCAGAATCTGACAGAACCCATGCATTTCTGCACCCAGAATACACTTAGAGAACAGTCTAATCATGGCAATAGGTACTACAGAAAATGGTATATTGTGTATAAACCTGGCCTCTCTAATCGCCTCCTTATGTGCCTGGAACATCTTGACGTTGTTCATGTTGGACTGCCAGTATTTCACATATCCCCCGTGGTCTGCTGTCAGCATCCACATATCATTGTGTGACCAAGTCATAGCCCTTACAGGGCTGTCGTGAGCCTGTAAATTCAGAAACAAAACTTCTAGCAAACACATTCAAGTGCCATCTGATCCACACAAACACTGAAGTTACTAAAGTTCCTACTTAACAGCTGCAATGAGGAGATGAGAACAGTGATGATCTAATTACATTCAAGATGTTATTGTGGGGGGGAAAAATTCCTTACTCTGCATACAGTGGTCTTCTAAATAGTAACAGTATTTGCATTTTGTTCCCAACATGTTTCTTTACTCTTACAAATACTATGTTCTTGAGAACAGTTAGTATAACAGATAGAGAGGGAATAAGAAGCATTATATGAATTGCCTGTAGCCAGTCTGACATGGACTCAGAGCAGAATAAAAGACCTCTAAGACTCCCACTACCACTCAGACCATAGACCCACGATGAGTAGGATGAAGATGTGTTCCTAGAACATGCTCCAAGACCTCAAGGAACTACATAGAAATTTTTACAGATTAATTTACCTGCAATATTGTTTCAAAATTGAAAGTCAGTCCATTCCATAAAGTGAACTCTCCACTAGATGCACCAGTGACCAAACGTCTCCCCTCAGGAGTCCACTGCAAAAGAAACATTTAACTAAACTGGGCAAATATAACATTCAAATATTTCTTCACAATTCTCCAAGTAAATCATGAGCTTCTTCAGGGAATCTGTGGAAACAGAATTAACTAAATGACTTTCTAGAGGATGCAAGATAGACAAAAAAGCAGAACTGTGCCACAGGGCTTTTGGTTTTTATAACAACAGGATAAAGCCCACTGTAAAAGCCATGAAAAAATCTAGAGAAGAAACAGCTTACTGGCATCAGTATATTTACAGTACCCAATATCCAAACTAAACAATACTTGTCTCCAAAATGTGATGGGGAAAGTGGAAATGCACCTCAAACTCACAGTAAGAACTCTTGTGTACTCAGACCTTACCATTTGTTTTCCTTAAACTTTCTATAGAAAGACTGGACACAGAAGTAGTCCATGCATTCCACATGCTAGTTTTTGAAGATGCTTTAACTGCCATCTTGTTTCAGTTAAGAATCAGTCTAATTTAAACTAAGACAATACAACTAAGTAATTCCAACAGTGTACTCACCCTGACAACAAACACTGGGCATTTTACTTTATTAGTAGATGTTCTAACAAACTTTGTTGTCACAGCATTCATAGGATTGTTCAGCATTCCTATAGGAGGGACCAGCTGTAAGAGAAGAAACAAAAGATTTCAAATCAGAAACTTCAGGAAAAGCACATATTCTGAACACCCATTTCTGGAAAAGCAAGACTGTCATTTGCAGGGATATTACCAGAAATAAATCCATAGAAGTGTTTCAAAGTCTGCATGATTTATCAACTCAAACATCCAGAACCAGTATCTTCAAGAGCAGCTTTGCAACCTCAGTGCATTATAGGAGTTATGTCCAGAAATTAAAAGCCTATCCAGGTTCAAGTTCTCTTTGTGGATTCCAACAGTAAATAATGTAGAGTGAAGATACCCTTCATAACTTTAAGGTTTCTTGCAGACACAATGATAACCTCAGCCGACATGCAGAATCCTTCCCATTTTCTGGACAAGATTTATCTGAAGAACTTCATCAGTGAATAAGACAATTCTACTTACATCATTATAATATCCTGCATCGGGCTGGATTGCTCGCATATCTCGCTGGTCTCTCTGCCATACTCTATTCTGGAAAGAAGAAAACAACTCCTAGTTCATACTAGTGCACTCCACTGCTAAATAACAAAAAATAACAAACACATTGAGAGTCTGTTTGGGAAAACTCTAGAGCGCCCCGAGAATTTTAAAATAAGCTCCATTAAGACTCTGGACTCAGGAAACCTGTAGAATTTGTGTGCTGTAAGCAAAGGAGTCAGGAGTGTTTGAAGTGCTGCACATTACTGGGCCACAGATGGGTGGTACTGCCCAAGCCAACAGGTAGTCCCAGAGAGGCACCTTCAGTCCTTTCAGAGCTTTATGTTCAGGATAAGGATTAACACCGGTAGTAGCTGTGCTGATGAACTCCACATGAAATCCCACAGAGCAACACGAGCTAGAAAAGGACTTTCTGCAGCTCAAGCACAAAGACAGTGCCTTCAAATGGATGAAACTGAGATGTGGGGATAACAATGCCTTCAATTAGTTAAATATTGTGAGCTGTCAAACACAACCTCTTCAAAAATACTTCTCATGAATTAAGAATAAAATTAATTATTTCAGTTTCGTGCCCCAGACTCTACCAATTTGGATCTGTGCAGATATTGGAAACTTAAGTTACAATTCTAGGTAAAACATTCCCAGCTACTACAGTTTGCTACAATTTCTTAAGCCAAGAGCAAATTACATATTAACTATTTTTCTTGGGTTTCTTGAAAGAAACACATTAAATCGGTAGTATTAAGCCAGGATTGAAATGGAATTCTAATTTTGTGTAAGCATCCAAGACATACAGAAATCAGATTTTTTGTTTGTGATTACTTTAATAAACAGAATTTTAATAAACAGTTCCTTTTTCTGCCATACTAAAAAGGTCCTGAACTTCTGAAATTATTCTTTTAGAATAGTCCACTACTAACAGAATCTCTTTTGGGGCATTCCTAAAATAAAAGAATATGTTTAAAATGTTGGATGTTCAAACAGATTAGGTTATTAAGAAAACCTTCCAACTGTTAACACCTACAAGCTATAATCATGCACTGGCCATAGCAGATGGAATTGCTTTCATCATGTTTTTGCAACATTGCTGTTGCAGCTGCAACAATTCCAGTATTTATAGATTGCTTTCTATTTCTTCTAGGCTAATACCCACCACTTGTGGAGTAAATCTTGGACCAGAAAATTTTATTTTTTAAAGAATTAATGCCACCCCATTAGGAGACCTAAATAAGCATTTTTACAGAAACAGTTCTTCAACAAAACTTCATTTACGTTTTTCTGTATTTATCAACTGTACAGAAATGGACTTTCAGAGACCCCAGTGCAAGCTGAAGTGCCATTCAGTAAAATGATGAGAAAACATTTTTTAGTGCCTCTTTTTTAGAAGAGGAAGGGGTAATGGTTCATCTTCCACTTTGGGAAATTTCTATTTCAAAACAAAAATAAGAACAATTACATTATTTATAATGAGTTTATATGATCACTGAAAAGTCAGAATATCATCCAAGGCACTCAACTGCACTCCAACTTCTAATTCCAAGAGAGGATGCACAAGCTGGCATTTATACAAAATATAAAATTAGCTGTACGTGCAGTTTTATTACCAAAAACCAACCTCCCCTTTTTATTCATAATACACCAAATTTACAAGCTTTTGTCATTTTGGTCAAAAACGCGGCAGCAGATCTTTTGTTATTCCAGACCGCTTTACGGTCACCGAAAAGCACAAAGTCAAAAAGGCTTTCAGACAAAAAAAAACCCAAAAAACTGGCTAGTTAACTAACCTCCAGATATTTAATTACAGAGGGATTGTAGTCTATGGTCTTCCTGTTCACCGCTTTCCTCATGCGCTTCCCGTCGAAGGTGAGCTGCTGCATCGCCTGCTGCTGCGCGAAGTCCGGCCGCTTGTAGAAGAGCTGCCGAGGGGCCTGGTGCTGGAACCTCGGCATGTGGAAGAACCGCGGCGGGGACCCGATTTCCGTGGCCATGGCTCCCTCGCCTCCGAGAGCTGCGGGAGCGAAACACCGCGTCAGCACACAGTTCCACATCTCCCCTAACCCAAGGCTAGCACAGTTCCACATCTCCCCTAACCCAAGGCTAGCACAGTTCCAGATCTCCCCTAACCCAAGGTCAGCACACAGTTCCACATCTCCCCTAACCCAAGGTTAGCACACAGTTCCAGATCTCCCCTGACCCAAGGTTAGCACACAGTTCCAGATCTCCCCTAACCCAAGGCTAGCACAGTTCCACATCTCCCCTAACCCAAGGTCAGCACACAGTTCCACATCTCCCCTGACCCAAGGCTAGCACAGTTCCAGATCTCCCCTGACCCAAGGTCAGCACACAGTTCCAGATCTCCCCTGACCCAAGGTCAGCACACAGTTCCAGATCTCCCCTGACCCAAGGTCAGCACACAGTTCCAGATCTCCCCTAACCCAAGGTCAGCACACAGTTCCAGATCTCCCCTAACCCAAGGCTAGCACAGCTCCACATCTCCCCTAACCCAAGGTCAGCACACAGTTCCAGATCTCCCCTAACCCAAGGCTAGCACAGTTCCAGATCTCCCCTAACCCAAGGCTAGCACAGTTCCAGATCTCCCCTGACCCAAGGTCAGCACAGTTCCAGATCTCCCCTAACCCAAGGTCAGCACAGTTCCAGATCTCCCCTGACCCAAGGTCAGCACAGTTCCAGATCTCCCCTGACCCAAGGTTAGCACACAGTTCCAGATCTCCCCTGACCCAAGGTTAGCACACAGTTCCAGATCTCCCCTAACCCAAGGTTAGCACACAGTTCCAGATCTCCCCTAACCCAAGGTCAGCACAGTTCCAGATCTCCCCTAACCCAAGGTCAGCACACAGTTCCAGGATCTCCCCTAACCCAAGGTCAGCACACAGTTCCAGATCTCCCCTGACCCAAGGTCAGCACACAGTTCCAGATCTCCCCTGACCCAAGGTTAGCACACAGTTCCAGATCTCCCCTGACCCAAGGTTAACACACAGTTCCAGGATCTCCCCTGACCCAAGGCTAGCACACAGTTCCAGGATCTCTCCTAACCCAAGGTCAGCACAGTTCCAGGATCTCCCCTAACACACAGTTCCAGGATCTCCCCTAACCCACAGTTCCAGGATCTCCCCTAACCCAAGTTCACAAGGATGACAAACAGCTTTGGAAAGCCCCATTTCTCGGCAAACAAACATTTGCAGGATTCTCTGAGGAATTGTTTTTCCTGCCCTGTGCCTCGTAACGCCAACATTAAAGTAGGTAAGTACCTTTTTTCTCTCTCTATCAAGAGGAATTCTGTATTGAAACACATCACTAGTAAGTTCGCATTACCATCCCTAAACTAAAAATGTACAAGAAAAGAATGTCCTTGGTGAAACAGCATAAATAAATGCAAGAAATGGCAAGAGCCTTCAACAGACAATATTTCAGATTCAATATAAAAACCAGGAAATATCACATCAGTTACAAATTCATTTAACTATTGACAAGGCAAAAAGTTTCCAAAGGCTGACTCAACATCTTTTTCTAGGACCTAAAACCAAAACTACATTTCCTCTACTTAACTTCTAGTAAATGGCCCACAGATCACATTCTACCTGTAGGTATATTTTCAATTCCATTACTGCAAAGTAAATTACATCTTTATCAAGGTTTGATAAATGTAATTGAACATCATTTCCCCCACAACAAAATTCACTGAGAATGTTAAGGAAGTGGAGGGGCAGGGAGAAAATTCCAATATTCAGAGTTTTTCTGACAGAGGGAAATGAGTGTAAAATCTGATTTTTCAGTCTATGAAATCCTTACATTAGGAGATCATGGCAACCTCTTCAGAGCTGAGAACTACAATATACAGTCTTTCAAGTATATACTGACCTCAGACTAAGTAGTGACACACACTGAAGCAACAAAAGCTCAAACTTCATTTTGAATGTATTCTCCCCCACATCCTATACTCGGTTTGAAAAACATTTTAAACCAAAATAAACTGGCCCTGTCATCAAGGGAATGCAAAATGGCCGAGAAACTCCCCTTTGCACAAAGGTTTAAGTGTTTACACAGAAGCAAAATGTACTTAATAAAGAGAAAGGAAATAAAATAGCAGATTTCTTTAAAAAAAATGGCATAATCTGTTTGTAAATTCATTAATGTACTTTCCTAATTAGTTAAAGTACTCATATCCTCAATTTGAAAGAGTTGGAAAGTTGTTTCACTGCCAGATTTAAAAATCTTGCTTTATTTTTGGATCCCAGTAGTTGAAAAACATTTCCATTTTTTAAATAGCAAAATAAAGCTAAGACAGAAATGCCAGACACATGAGGGGGTTTAAAAGCAGTGCATAGTTTGATTCTTTTCAAGAGGTTCTTTCTAACTACAGGGAGCAGGCTGCCCTTTAAATAACCATCAGGCAGTTTGCTGGGCACAGGGCAGGAATTAGCTTGGCAAACTTGGGAGCTCACACTCCTCTCCCCTGCTAACAAAGGGCGACAAGCCAGCTACAAGCCAAGCCAGCCACAACACCTGGCTGGCTGCTTGCTACACAAACAGCTTCCACAGACAAGGGGGAAACCAAACTAAAGCCATTACAGCTATTCTCCATTCAAGATAGACAGGTCCAAACTAAAACAGCAGGTTTCCTTAAATTAGGTAAGGAAACATAACCCCTTCGGCAGGGAGAGCATCTCATGAGACCAAAGTGGTAACTGGGAGGAGAGGAGGAGAGAGAGAGCGCCCAGTGGACAAAAAATAACCCTTTACCCCGCAGCTGAAAGGCTCATTTACCTGGAAGCTGCCCAATACCAAGTGGTCTAATCAGACACCACATCTGCCTCCACACACTCGACTCCAGACCACAACTGTAACACAGGTCCTACAACATTAAGCTTGCCTGGAGCATGAAAAAAGTATCCAAATTTTCTCAGGCAGGAATTGCGTCAAGCGCCTCTAACACTACCTCGGATTCTCTCACGGGTTGGCAGAAGGAACAAACTCGTACAGAAAGTTTCGAGTGTTAAATCTCAAAGGTAAAATTAAAAGAGGAAGTGGCTTCTTTGAATGAACACAACAAGCTGGCATTAAACATACAACTCTCCCTCAAGTCTGAATAAGACACTTTCTTATACCAATCGTTACTTCAAACCAGAGGGAAAAAGATAATTTTTCAAAACCATGCATCCACACATCTGTACTCTCTTATAGGCAATGCAAAAAATAAAGTTCAAGAACTGAGACCAAGAATGCAGTCAAAGCTATACGCTGGGGCCTCCAAAACCACTTTGATCAGCTGTATTTGCTGATCAACATTATATAAAACCCCCGTTCTAGGGAAATACTGCAAAGCAAAAAGTTAATACTTTGTTTTCTTGCTCCAGAAAAATCTCCAGAAGAAAGTTTCTCTATTACCATCATTGGTAAAGAAGGCATTAGCTATCATGTGGCTCAATTTAGATTGGACACACCTAAAACTACTGCAATCAGTGTCTATCTTAAATTAGCATAAACAACACAGACTTAACATGTAATCCACATCAGCAAAAATCACTGTTTAAAATGTGACTAAAGGCATAAACATGTTAATTACACCTCTTCATGCCTAAGGACCCTTCCACATTCATGATTATGACAAGACAGTTAAGTGGCATCACAACTACAACATCATGACACAGGATTAGGAAAATGAAGGATTTACAGTCTGGTTTTTTCAACTGTTGAGATCACTGCCTCTATCACAAAAAGCCTTCCACCTGCAGTTACAAACTCTGCATAAAGTTTTGTGTACCCAGCTGCTCAGGACCACCTTCTTCTAATTGCCTCAAATATTCTGCTTTTATCCACATAACATCCTCACCGTGTCACGTTTGCATATAACACGTGTCTAATCTATGAAAAAAGAGTGTGTGCACATACAGGTGAGTGTATATACACACCAAGTGAAGGTTCTAAACAAAGCAGCTTCAGAAGTGAAGGGGGTTGGTACAGAATCAGTTATCAACTGAAACTAGAGCATTTTTTTCCAAAGACCTCTACTCCAGTCAGAGCAATATACCCCATTTAAGTTACCAGTATCCTACTTGGTCTTTTGTTGGGGCAAACCAGTGCCTCAACAGGCTCTTCTTAATATCTTCCTTATCAACTACATGTCAGAATTCAGCATGTCTATAGCTGAAGGTCCCCTTGTATTGGCAGTGTGAGGAGAAATACACAAACAAATATTACAGGACACTGTGTAATCCAGTGCAGTAACACACAATTTCCTATTTGAAGCAAAGTGCCAAACTTTGTTTTCATTTGAGAGTCCATCAACAGGATTTAAGCAAAAGAATCGATTTTTTCCTTATTGTACACAATCAGAAGCAACAGCAAGATTTTTTCCAACATCACGCCCAGGTCAGCTCATACTTTGATTCTGGACAGTAATGTTGCCAATTAATGGCTATTTTCTTCTAGTTCATTATACTCCTGGCACAATTTGAACTTTGAAGTTAATTTTTGTATACCATTTCTCCACACATCCTTATCAGCTTCCCCCTTCCTGTTCCCACAAATACCCCTTTCAAAGCTGACCAGCTTTCACACGTTTTGAGGCATAAATGTATTTGGGAATACATAGAGAATACTAAACTAATTCACTGAGCAAATACAGGGCCACCCAGTGTTACGACCTGCCCCAGAAAAAGGGAGGGAGGATAACCCAGGTTTTTATCAATAATTCCCTTGGGGTGGATTAGAGTGAAACAACAGTGAATAATCAGCGTTTGAAAACATATACTGACAAGGTTTATTTCAACAATTCTGTATCAACAAGCATGCTAGCAGTTTGGGTGTTGTCATAAAACAATGCAACACTGAGATAACTTTTGGGGGGGGAGAAACTGTTTAGGGGAGAGGAAAACCAGGATGAGAGTAAGGGAAAAGAGAAGCTGAGAGTACAAAAGAAATGGACATTGTCACTGCCCACTGGATCCAGCGATGCTGGAGAGCGATGGTCTTGATTCGCAGGCGGTG